AAGGACCGAGTTGAGGTAGTAGGTTAACCGCCGGAGACCCCACCCCTTCCCGACATTCAGGGCCCCAGCAGAAACGCCAAAAGGGCTGGATTTGTTTACTTCGTTGTAGTACACCTTCAAGCACGGAGAAGATAAACCCGAGATTTTTGAACTTCCAAATTTTCGCCTCCCCATTCCACCGCGCCATAAGTTATTTTCTACAAAATTGCATTTTTCAATAGTTGTACATGAAAAAGAAACGAATTGCCGGCGAACTGCAACATTAAGTGCACAAAGCAAGGATGGAGCATACCGATGGAAAGCGACTTGGATCAGAAACTCATTTTGACGGATGGAAGTCATATTCCATCGATCCTAGTAGTTAACAAGGTGAGCGAGTCTAATTATCAACCTTTACTATTGGGCCTAAGAAAGTCTTTATTTATGCGAAATAAGGTCTCACAAAGAAGACGTATGAGACGGTTTTCATGAGGATTGGAAGATTGGACCTTGCAGTGTGTACTCTATGCTAAGCTTATAACGTTAATAACTGCCAATTCGCAGAAAATTCCTTGCACTCTTCTTCACCCATTCTGCTATTCCCCGAAACTTCGTAAAGGGGCGTAGGGTCATACTTTGGGCTTTGGCTCAAAAGCACGGTGCGCTTAATGCAGGGTGTTATTGTCCAACTGTACCTCTGAACCAGCTCAGGGTCAAAAGGCTTCCACCGATCGCCAATTATTGAAGCACTCAAAATAGCTTAGGATTTGGAACAGGCTTTAACAATGGACTAGATGTGGAAGCAGAGCTAGAGATGCGTGGCGTACGCTCTTAGTATAGGATAACCCTTACCCAAGTGAACCGAGAGCCTATCACCTCGCTGGCGGCGGCTGATGCCCACCAATCTCGGAAGGAGTATATCACTTTTCTAAAAAGCACTGTTTGCGCAAAAATTCTTCTCTAGACCCAACAAACTCTCAAATGCTTCTACGATGTTGAACTCATATTCTATACATGGCGCACACCTTAGACAAAATATATATCACATACATTACTCACTAATGTTCCCGACTATTGGTGTTGCCGGTAGGTTTGGGGGCGGCGCTAGAACCGCTTACCTGGGCCATCTGATCCAATTCTGTATACCTTTCTCGAAGATGAAGATAAGTAT